TCCTAAATGCCAGCCAGCCCCTCCTGTTCTCCTGTGCCGTTCTCCAAGGGGAACAGGGAGGGACCCACTTCCCCAGACTTGGCATCTTCCGTAGGAGAAACACTGGATTGATTTCCTAAACCAGGTGCCCTCTGGATTATTTTGGTCCACAGCTCCTGGAATATCAAGCCACTGTCCATGTTAACCAGGGATTATCGGTGCTAAGATGCTCTTTTTTTTATCAACATCCTAATATGAATTCCCGATGGCTTATTATTCAGCTCCTCAGCAGGTGAGAGCGCCAAGACAAATGTAGCTGAACTCGGAAAATCTAAGCAGGATTGGCCCTGGTTAGAATTTGGATGGGAGACTACCTGGAAATAGCAGGGCTGAGAAGGCAAGAAACAGAAGGCAACAATGGCAACCTACTTTTGTGCTGTTGCCAGGAAAACAGCACAGAATCTCCCTGAAGCCGCCAGGACCTGACTCAGAGGAGGTTTTATCTGTATCTACCTACACACACAATTCTCTCATGAAATTATAATTCTTTTAGATAAATGCTATGAAAGGAGGACTGTCTTGTAGATTATAAGCCTTGGGCTAAAACTAGGCCATTTCTGGTACAAGGGTCACTAGGCAACCTTGACCAGGCCCCTCACTCCCAACCTCACACGTCCCACCTCTAGTAAGACTGATTTCACCCTGAACTTCTCCCCAAGGCACACGTGGCTTCCACCCTCTGAGGGAGCTTCAAGTACAGCACAGGGACTGGACCAAGACGACCCCAGAGAGTTGTGATAAGGAAGTGATTGTGATCATGCAGTTACCGCTGCATTTATCATCTGTCTGCAACTCAAATGTTTCACTGCTTTGCATTCTGGCAGGCCAGTTGCACTCACGGCAATCTCCATAACCAAGTCAGGCATCTAAGAGCCAAACAGCTATTTGCTCTCTGCTTGAAAAAGGGCCCTAATTTGATCACAACCCCAAAAGTCCAGGTCTTGCTTTCTGCTATTTTGATCAAGAGCCCGTCCCCTCGTCCTCATCCCCCCAGCATATCCTTTCTCTGCAGACCCCCTTTTCTTATTGCAGAGCACAAAGCCGCCTCCACGTTTCTGCTTTTGTCCATATTAGTGACCCAGTTTGCCTGCTGACTGGGAACTGGGGAACTAGTCCCTGTCAAAAACAGATTTTGTCTGCCTTGTTCTTCAGGCGTGCTTGTCCAAGGGCACTGTGTGGCCGTATTAAAATAGAACGAGTTTTCTCCAGCAGCCAGCTGTCCATGCCCTCGCCACCTGCTTGGGGGCTGAACAGCTCTTCGCTCCACATGGAGCATCACGCTTTCCCTGCAAGAATGGAAGCTCTCTCCTTCTAAAAGCATCCACCGTCTTAATTTAGATTTCATTCATTAAGCAAGATGTAACCATTTAAATCACCACCATCTTTCTTTTCTGGAGAAGCAGGCTCAGAGCCACAAGACAAGGGTGGTGCTGAAAGGCAAGGCTTACAGCTATTGGTTTCACAAACCGCAAGAAGAAAGAGGTAGACAGAGAGACAAGGAACATTCATATGACCTGTAATACCACAGCTTTTGTTATGGCTGTGGTGTGTTTGCTATGCACAACTCTAAGAAGTGACGGAACGGCACTTTCTCCTAGGGAAATGCAAAAGAGCTCTCAGTAGCTTGTGGGAAAAGGACCTGAGAGAGAGAGAGAGATCCTATTTTCTTCCTTAGAATGGGCTAATCTGAGCCCTCCAGCATGGATTCATAGATTTATGGAAGAAAACTGTTCAGAACAGGAAGTGATTCTTCCTCTGTAGGAGATTGGAAGATTTCTCTGACATTTACAACTAACCCAAATCCATTGTTCTGGAAGAACCTAGACATACAATGATTCATCTCTATGGTTTACTGAAACAAGCCCATTTCAAACCAAGATTTATCATTTTCAAACCAAGCTGGAATGCATCTTTATCCATCAAGTGAACTGCACACAACAACCAAGCAACATAGTTGAGAAACTAACAAAATGATGGAAATAGCACCATCGCTTGCCTGTCCAGGATTTCTTCCAAGACCATGGAGTACAAGGCCGACGAATCTTTACATTTTGACAATGTCTTTACGGTATTTTATCTGCCACTTTATCCCCTGCGTTTATTAGCTAATTGAGTAATTTCTCCTGGTTTAACTGTAAGCAAAATCACATTAGATTATACTTGAAATGCCTCTTCGCTTTTCCCAAAGGTAACTCTACTGATTACATCTACACATTAGCAATACTTTGGCAGCAGAATTTAGATGCAATTTTCTTGGAAAACCATTCAAAAATCCAAATCCGTTCAGAAATGGTGACGAGATTCCAGCTGTTAAGCAACTGCAGGAACCCTACGGTACCATTTCTTGGAATCTGCGGTGACAGCTACTTGGTTCTAACCATAAATTAAAAGCTCAGTTAGCATCCCCTGGGCACTGAAATCATTTGAGAGTGGGGTACCATCTCCCATGGGAATGGATTAGAAATTTCAGTGAGGGTTTCTTCCTTAAGAGGCCAGATGGGAAGCAACTAAAGAAATAAGTTTTCTACTGGCTACACAATCCTACCCACCCATCCCCAAATGTAGTTGGCGTCAGTCTTGCTCCTGTTGTCCTGGGATATTCTGCTTAGTTTACAGTCATGTGAAAAAGGAAGTACACCTGCTTTGAGTTCCATGGTTTTACGTATCAGGACATAATAAAAATCGTCTGGTCCTTAGCAATTCTCAAAAATAGGTAAATACAACCTCAGATGAAAATCCAAATCCGTTCAGAAAAGGTGACGAGATTCCAGCTGTTAAGCAACTGCAGGAACCCTATTACACCAGGTCATCCTTTATTTTACAAAAAGAAATCCAAAATGGAGAAGCCCTGTGTGAAAAACTAAGTATACCCTTACTGCTTCCATAGGTATGAAGAGGCTAAGGTGCTGCTAATCAAATGCCCTTGATCAACTGATCATCAGCAAGCGTGACTACCTCTATAAAAGCCGAAGTGTTAGGCGTTTGCTGGTCTCGAGCATCAAGGTGTGTGTTAACACAATGCCAAAGAGTAAAGACATCAGCAATGATCTTAGAGAAGCAAT